CCAATCCTAACCATTCTGTGATTCTGTGTGATTACAGTAATAGATGAATGCTTGTACGCATTTTCTGTCTGAAGAAACAAGCAGGCCATATCAGGTTTTACCAACTTACTGTGAATTATATCTATGGTTAAAGAACTTGATGTAAAATAGTGTTTAAAATATACATCTCATTAGAAATAAGCAACAGAATGTAAGTAATCTGATTCACAAAAAAAAAAAAAAAACCCCAAACCCTCAAACTACTGGAATATTTTGTCCAGTCTCTGAAGAAAAAAAAACATACTAGACTTTGTTATTCCTGTGTCAAAGCATTTTCTGATATCTGATGTAAAAACATCACTGCCTATAAACACAGGTCAATGTATTGTGCATCTGGCAAAAAAACGTGAACTGAAGAGAGACAGTAACAAACTAATGAGGTCTAAAAGTAGTGCCAAAAAAGCATCAAGAAATCATGCAGTGTAAAATTAAAATGTAAACATGCAAGTTGCTTCTATTCATAGACAAAGCCAGTGAGCATGACACCGTGACCTTAGAATTTTGAGGGAATTTTTAGCTTTCGCCTGTCCTTCATAGACTGAAGAAAAACTAAAGAATCTATCTGGTTTGCAAAGAGAAGGTAAACAAAACTATTACTCACACTACTCGTCTAAAATATCCATAGTAAAAAATGACAGGTTTCAGAGTTCAAAAGATTTTAACCTTACAAGCTTTAAAAATGTAGAAGTTTTAAATATATCTGAATATAAATAATGGTTTATATACTACCTAGGAAAGAAAGAATTCAGTGCCAGTAGTTTACAAATATACATACCAACAAAGGAAAGACATGTAAAGATTTAGAAAGCCACATGCATCTTTTCTAATTCAAGATTAGGCAGGCATCTTCCCCAGCATGCAGGAATACGATGAGACAGAAGACAGGTATGCTGTAGGAAAATAATACTTTCTTGAAGTGCTAGCTAGAACAGTTAACACTAGTATTAAAGAACATACTTTCATTTGTATCAGTGTTTTTCCTTGTTGTTACGAAACTTACTGATTAAACATTATGCTCAAGGAGAAAAATTTATTGCTAGTAAATTTCACTGGCTACAATGGAATTGTATGAAAGACAAAACTGGTGCATGGAATTCTGACATAATATCACTTCCAAACAACTACTATAGAGAGGGGGCCAACTGTCCACATAAACTACAACACCCAACTCAGAGCTGAACTTAACTTATCTACAATTAAGATAAACTTAATAGAACGCTAACTGGAACTTTTTTTTTTAAAGTAAACGCACACTTAAGTATCATAAATTCAAATCAGATTTCACACGTTGTACTGTTGTAATTATTAAGTAATGTGATTATACCATCCATTAACTATCCAGAACCTAAGCAGTATTTTAAACAAATTATATCTATTTACATTAATTCTCTGGCATGCACTGGATTACGTTCCGTTTTGCTCAGAAGACACAGAATGTCATTAAAAGGCTAAGCAGGCAGGAATCAAATAATAGAAACTAAACATGGATAGAATATAATAGATTAAGACAAAAAATGCTGATATGAAACATGAAGATCTTCCTTTTGCTGTCAGTTTTTCGTATGATGGCAATACTTGGGAAAACACATTGGATGCCATGTACTGAATTATAACGCAAAGAGCAAGACCTGGGTGCGGGTCTATGATGAGGACTACTTAAACCACACAGGAATGAGCAGGGTTAGGCTGCATGGCCTTCAGTGCCTCCAAAAACAATAGGAGCACCAATTTTTAGAGTCATTTACAATACTGTATGTTTGAAAAACTAAAACAGAGGAAAAAGAAAGTTTAGTATTAAAACTTCTTTTTTTACCGTATCCTTGCTGGCCATATGCTAATGATGGAGGAATGATCACTTTCCGTTTTTCTCCAGGACACATATCCGTCATAGCAATATCTAACCCTTTTATGACTTGTCCAACACCCAGAACGAACCATTTTGGATGACCTTCATTTTGCGTCCGACTAGTAAAAAGAATTGTGAGTAGATAACAGTGAATTTAGTATTTAAATTCTTTTTTAATATAAAAGTAACCTTAACTTAGCAGTCAGTAAAAATGTTCACTAGATTATTAGAACACAAGAATGTATAAAGTGCAAGGATACAAAGTATTGACACTGTTTTTCTACTACATTTATAATTAATTTAAGGTCAAATTTTGACATGCGTAAGGGGCAACCTTCTTTTGAAATCAAAAAAACAAGTTAAAAAACCTAACTTTTTACAAGAACATCCAATCTTCCTGATCAGAAACAAGGTGCCACTGCAGGAAGCCTGCAAGAAGAGGAGCAATTCACTGCTGGAAAATGAAAATGTCTTCAACAGTTCACATCACTGTAAGATGGGATGGAGCATGCAGGTGTGTGTTGGGGAAACCGGGCAATCTTGGCTACATCACTCTCTGCTCACCTATTGCTCTGTTCAGTTTAGATATTTGGTGCTTGAGCCAGCTTCCGGTCATCTGAGGTGTCCCCAGTATGGCTGCTACACTGAATGGCAACTGAGCAACATGTAGCTCAGAAGTCAGAAAGCAACACTACATATGCCAAAATCAGTCACTTCAACAAGCAAAAAAAAATGCAAGTAAAATGTTACTGTTAAATGTAGAATTATCCTCTACTGATTTTTTCTTATATGATACAAGTAGGGGGGGATGGATCAAGATATTGTAATAAACTAGGCTACTGTCTGCTCTGTCCAAATCTGGGTAAGGAATGACCCAGGTACCTGAAGGAAAGAAAAGATGCCCCTCCATAGTTCTGCACAGGTGAGTCCTGCCCCACTAGCAGGAGGCACCACTACCATTAAAAGCAAGGCGCTGTAGAAACAAAGCTTTGGCACAACAGTGCCCTGCACGATGCCAACGATGTAGAAGACCATACTCAAGTTTCTGTCTAAAACAGTCTGCAAACCCGGGGGACCCGCTGCTCCCGGGGTCTACGGCCTACCTTTCCTTCCACCCTCCCCGGTGCCCTGGGGACCCACCTGCAGTAAAACTTGGATCCGTCGCTGGCCAGGAAACCGTCGTAGTGCGCGTTCAGCAGATCCCCCCTCTTGCTCTTCGGGCTGCAGGACTCGGGGAGGTGCAGCACCTCGATTTTAA